CACTGAGTGGGGGAACTGCATGCGAGTGCATTCACTGAGGCCTTCGGTGGAGCTCCCTATGGGGCGACGAAGCGCTGTACTGGGTGGGGGTGACGCATGCGGGCAGTGCCACTGCGGCCTCCGGTGGAGCTCCCTATGTGGCCACGAAGCGCTCAACTGGATGGGTGTGACGCATGCGGGTGGTGTCACTGGGGCCTTAGACGGAGCTCTCTATGGGGCCACCAAACGATGTTCTGGGTGGGTAGTGACGCATGCGGGCGGTGCCACTGGGGACTTCGGTGGAGCGCCCCTTACGAGCCACGAAGCGCTGTACTGGCGGGGGGGTGACGCATGCGGGCGGTGCCACTGAGGACTTCGGTGGAGCGCCCTATAGGGCCACGAAGCGCTTTACTGGGTGGAGGGAGGCGCATGCGGGCGGTGCCACTGCGGCCTTCGGTGGAGCTCCCTATGAACCCACGAAGCGCTGTACAGGGTGGGGGCGGCGCATGGGCGGTGCCACTAGGGCTTTCGGTTGAGGTTCCTGTGGGGCTACGAAACGCTGTACTGGGTGGGTGGTGACGCATGCGAGCGGTGCCACTGGGGCCTTCGGTGGAGCTCCCTATGGGGCAGCGAAACGTTGTACTACTTGGTGGGGGTGACGCATGCGGGCGGTGCCACTGGGGCCTTCGGTGGAGCTCCCTATGTGCCACGACACGCTGCACTGGGTGGGGGAACCGCATGCGAGTGCATTCACTGCGGCCTTCGGTGGAGCTCCCTGTGGGGCCACGAAGCGCCATACTGGGTGGGTATGACGCATGCGGGCGGTGCCACTGGGGACTTCGGTGGAGCTCCCTGTGTGGCCACGACACGCTGCACTGGGTGGGGGAACCGCATGTGAGTACAATCACTGGGGCCTTCGGTGGAGCTCCCTATGGGGCCACGAAGCGTGCGCGGTGTGAGTGCCAAAGTGAGGGGGGTGACGGGAGGGGTGGAGGGGGGGAGGAGGAGGAGGAGGAGGAGGAGGAGGAGGAGGAGGAGGAGGAGGAGGAGGAGGAGGAGGAGGAGGAGAGGAGAACGCGGGGACCGTCTCTTCAAAACTAGGACCCAACACCACAGGATGGTTGGGAAAAATAATCTCGAGGCGGATCCAGCCGCGGCGACGGGGGCCTTCAGGGAGGCCCAAAAAGGCGAACACGAGCCAACTCCTAGGAGCTTGAGTTCAGCATCGACGCTGGTATATCCGTGTTCCCAAACTGGCCTGATCCAGCTTTATCCCGGCTCGTGTCGCCTAGTCCCTTCGGTGGAGCTCCATATGGGGCCACGAAGCGCTGTTCTGGGTGGGGGTAACGAATGCGGGTGGCAGCACTTGGGCCTTCGGTGGAGCTCCCTGTGGGGCCACGAACGCTGTACTGGGTGGATGGTGACGCATGCGGGCGGTGCCACTGGGGACTTCGGTGTAGCGCTCCTTACGAGCCACGAAACGCTGTACTGGCGGGGGGGGGTAACGCATGCGGGCGGTGCCACTTGGGCCTTCGGTGGAGCGCCCTATGGGGCCACGAAGCGCTGTACTGGGTGGAGGGTGACGCATGCGGGCGGTGCCATTGCGGCCTTCGGTGGAGCTCCCCATGGGGCCGCGAAGCGCTGTACTGAGTCGGGGTGACGCATGCGGGCGGTGCCACTGGGGCCTTCGGTGGAGCTCCCTGCTGGGCTTCGAAACGCTGTACTGCGTAGGTCTGACGCATGCGGGCGGTGCCACTGGGGCTGTACTGCGTAGGTTTTGACGCATGCGGGGACCTTCAGGGAGGCCCAAAAAGGCGAACACGAGCCAACTCCTAGGAGCTTGAGTTCAGCATCGACGCTGGTATATCCGTGGTCCCAAACTGGCCTGATCCAGCTTTGTCCCAGCCTGTGTCGCCTAATGTGGCCTCATCTGGCTTAATCGGGCTTAGTAGCAGTTGTATGCTGTAACCATTTTACGGAAATCTCCCAGGAGTCGCGGCCTAAACCAGGGCAGTTCGGGCGGAGCTAAGACATGGATGTACCGTTCCAGAGCGTTCCGGAACGCCCTCCAAGCGTTCCGGAACGCTCTGAGGAGGCCTTGGCGCCCGACACATCCTCCAGAACCGCGGGATATCGGAGATCCCTATTTGACCTGGTCCGATTTCGTACCCTGCATTGAAAGGACGCCCACCCAGACAAGTCGGCAGTGGAAACCTGCGCGGGTTTACTCCACCTGGACGTCAATGAGCTTCCCCGCTGGGGCCCACTCGGAGTGCGGTGCCGTGTGCACGTGGAGTGCTTCAGACCCCCGAGGGTTCTTTATCTGATGAAGGCCGCGATGATCTCCATGACCAAGCCTTAGTTGGTGTTCCAGCGGATTCCTTATCCAATGGCTCCTTATCCAATGCCCTCATCGATAGTGGCGGTGTCGGTACTTTTCGGGGAACAGGTAATGACATCAGCATGAATTTCCAGAGGGCCGCGCTGATTTCTTGGATCGGCGCGGGACCTCCTTCCCTGGCGCGCTCCGCGTGCCAGGGGCGGCGCCGGAGGCGCCGCGCCAGGGGGCCCAGGGGGCCCAGGGCCAAACTTCGCGCTGACCTTCAGAAGTGAGTGCTTCTGTAACTTTCTGTTCCCCTCGCAGGCGTAGAGGTTGACACCAACACCAAGATCGGTGGTGTGCCTCCACCGAGGGAAGAAGATCCCGATCTTGGCGATGGTGGTACTATTCTGGCTGCCACGGTGGCCGGAATGTTGCCACCAACACCGAAATCTAGGATCATCTTCCCCCTGTGGAGGCAACCCCCTTCCCCCTACAGGGGGATTTTCGACGAAAAATGAAAAAGATTCCAAAAATGATAAAAAATAGTCCAAAAATAGTATGGGGACGATTTTTCTAGTACTTGTTGACCTTTTTGGGGCATTTTGGGGGTATGCTTTATTTGTCGTCAAAAATTCCCGTGTAGGGGGACAGGCCCGACTTAAAGTGAGTGCTTCTGTAACTTTCTGTTCCCCGGTTCTCCTCCTCGGACCCGCAGCCGCATGGCCGCCCCGCGCCCGGCGCGGCGCGGCGCGGCTCTGCCGCGGCTGGCGCTCGCAGCCGCCGTCGCGGCGCTGCTGCCGGGCTGCTGCCGGGCCGCGCCCGCGGGGGAGCAGCTGGTGCTCGTGGGGCGAAGAATTTACTGGGGGTATTTTTGGTGTATTTTTTATTTTTCGTCGAAACCCTGCGGGGGGGACAGGCCCGACTTAACCTTAGGGCCCCATCCCTCAGGACCCCCGCCTGGAACCACCGAGGAGGGGGCCGGGGGCCCCCACCGTCGGTGCCAACTCACGAGAGCCATCCCGCTCTTGCCTCGGGGGGCACGGCAGGGAAGGATCGCAGCACGGGGCAGGGCAGATTACCAGCCTCGAACTTATCCCTATCCCTGAGATTGACACGCCAAAGGGCGATGACAATCTTAGGGAGGCGCCCTCAAAAAATGAGGGAATCCCGAAGGTCGGCATCGTGAGGAGGAGATGCCCAGCATAGGGATAGGGAGATGTTCCAGGCTGGTAGGTATCGCCCTCGTCTGCCTCCTTGTCCTCCCCTCCTCCTCTTCTCTTCTTTCTCCGTATACATATATATATATATATATGTATATATATATATATATATATATATATGTAATGCTGTACTGTCGCACCCCAAGGCCAGCCGGAAGGGCGGGCCGGGAATCCCGCCTGAGATTTCCTTACCACGTATGGTCCTGAAGATGAAACGTTAGAAACAGTTTCACAGATGGGGGGCGGGCGATGCTTCAAAATGTTGCTTTCGACTGAGCGCCGCGCGCATTCGTTTCAACAAATTCCACGACTTTCGCGGATTGAGGTCGGGGGGTGGTTTTCAAGATCTGGCTCTTGCCTTAGTGCTCTCTGCAAGAGTTTCACGCGATGAGGGCGGGTGGTGTTCAAAATGTGGCTCTCGCTCTAGCGCCGCGCTCATTCGTTTCAGAAATTGCAAGACGATCGCGGATTGAGGGCGGGTGGCTGTCGAAATGTGGCTCTCGCCTTAGCGCCGCGCGCTTTCGTCTCTGCAGCAGTTTAACGGATTGAGGGCGAGTGTTTTTTCCACGCATGCATGGCGTGTGGTCTTATAAATGTGGTCGTCGCCCGAGCGCCGCGCACATTCGCTTCAAATATTCGGAAGAGTTTTGCGAATTCCCATGGTTCACGTACCAGAATCGCGTTTTGGAGCGAGGCGGGACTTCCAGGGCGCAAGAGTTACTTTGATTCGTTGCTGGAGTCCCAGGAATGGCGTTCTGGCACGGTTCAGGGTCGTAAAGACGCAACAGACAGGTCGTGGTGTTGACGAACCGAGAATGGCGTGTTGGCGCTTGCACGATCTGCAAACAGTTGGCTTCCCATAACAGTGGAAATCAATCCTTGTAGGGGCCTTCGACGACGGAGCTTTCGGGGAGGGTTTCTTCCAACATCGTTGAGATGAGGCTTGGGTTTGCATTGGTCCTCCTCGTCTCTCTCCTCGTCTCCCTCCTCCTCCTCCTCCTCCTCCTCCTCCTCCTTGTCCTCCTCCTCCTCCTTGTCCTCCTCGTCGCACTTCACCTCGACTCCGTCCTCCTCCGTCTGGGTCGAAGGAAGAGGAGGACCTCCTCCTCCTCCTCCTCCTCCTCCTCTTCCTCGCTACCCCTGGCCAGGATCGGCTCGTGGGCGACACACGTATCCCCATCCGCGGCCTCGCGGGCCGGGCCCTTGGGCCGCGCGGCCGCGTGTACAGGGTATTGTTTCACAGCTCCCCGCGCGGCACGCACCCGTGCGACCGCGCATCCGCGGGATCGCGCCCGAGGAGGGGGAGGAGGAGGAGGAGGAGGAGGAGGAGGAGGAGGAGGAGGAGGAGGAGGAGGAGGAGGAAAAGGAGGAGGAGGAGGAGGAGGAGGAGGAGGGAGAGGAGGGAGAGGAGGAAGAGGAGGAAGAGGAGGGAGCAGACCGCGAGGGCGCGGGTGCGGACGTGCCCGCCCGCTCGCGAGGTGCCCGCGCTGCTGCTGGTGACGCTGCCGAGCTGCGCCGCGCTGTTTGCGGAGGCGGCGATTGCCGCGGCCCGCAAGGCGGGGCGGGGAGACGACGAGGAGGTCCGCTGCAAAAGAGTATACACAGACACCCTCCAATGGATTGTTCCTGGGCCTCACGTGAGGGTGGCGGTGCATAAATCATCACCGAGAGCCAGCGGTTTTATACATCGCCGCCCTCCCTGAAGGTACATGCAAAGTTCGTTGGAGCGCGTATGTGTATATTTTTTTGTGGCGTAGGAGGGCAGGGGGCCAGGATGCAGCTCCTGGCAGGTCAGATTCCGAATCGTCGCTGATATTGTCGGAATTTGGCCTGATCGCATTCAATCCCGCTTGCTCCGGCTTTGTCCCGTTCAATCCGGCTGAATCCCGGGTCCAGGCCGGTACAACGGCTTCTAAATTGGGCTTAATTATTCATCGTTCTGACGAGGATTGCACAGGATATGTTTCCTAAAAAAGGTACGAGGGGATTATGTCGTTTCTAGGATTCCAGGTTGGTTTTGTGCGCGCCCGCGAAGGGGCCCGAGAGGGGAGGGAGGGAGGGATGAAGGAGGCGGCGGAGGAGGAGGAGGAGGAGGAGTTCGGATGCGCATCAGGAGGAGGAAGGACGAGGGCGGGAGGAGGAGGAGGCGGAGTTGGAGGAGGGAGGAGGAGGAGAAGGAGGAGGAAGAAAGAGAAGCAGGAGCTCAATAGGATGCGGATTAACATGGGCGGGGTGGCAGGAGAAGTTCAGCAGGATGCGCATTACGAGGAGAAGGAGGAGGAGGCGGAGGAGAAGGAGGAAGAGGATGATGAGGAGGAGGATCCAGTTGCCTGCGGCAAGTCCGCCACCGTGCCAGCGAAGTAATCCGTGTGGTAACACTTCGGTCACCACGCAGAAGGCCGTCACATGTGGAATCTCTCGTCTCAGCTTCATCCGGAGGTATCATTTGGCTCACCTAGCCGCAGCGGGGCTGTCCTGGACATATTTTTTGGGGGCCGTCTCTGGGGACCACCTTGGGCCATCTTGGGGCTGCCATGGGGGCCTGTTCTCGGTAATGTTGGTCGCTGCTTGTGCCATCTTGGGGCGCGCTTGGGTAGTCTGGCGCATTCCGGGTCGTCACTGGGGTCCTCTCTAGGCCGTCCTGAGGGCCTGTTGTCCTGAAGGTGCGTCGCCTGGCCATTTTGGGAGATCTCCTTTTGGGCCGCCTTGAGGCCTCCTGGGGCATCTTGAGGGCCTCTCGGGCCGTCTTGGGCCGTCGTGGGGCCATCTTGGATGCCTCTTCGGCTGTCTTGGGCTGACGGGAGCCCGAAAAGGTAACGACGCGAAAGTCACCGGAAAGCTGGTAACCATCATTGATTTTGTGTCAAACTCGGGTCCTGCTTAGGGGGTCCTCTAGAAGCCCTCTTGGGTCGCCTTCATGGCCGATTGGGCCGTCTTGAGGCGGTGGTTGGGCCGTCTTGGGGCCATTCTGAGGCCATCGTTGGCAGTCTTGGAGGCCCTCTTGACGGCCTTGGTCACCTGCCTGGGCTGATGTGCGGGCTCTCTCGGGCAGCTCCGGCGCATCTGAGAGGCGCGCCATGGAGGTGCCGGAGCGCCCAGAGCGCCTCGGGAGGAACGGGGGGGAGTGGTGCACGCAGCAGCGTCGACCGGGAAAGAGGGGGACCCCAGAGGTCGGTAGCCTGGAGACGGGGGTCAGTGCAAACGGGGGTCAGCCAGGACGCCGGATCCTGCGAGGCGGCCGCACATATTGGCTGACCTGGGTTTGCGAAGACCTGCGTTGCAGTTTGTTTCCCTGCATTGCAGTTTTTGGTTTCCTGCTGACCCGGGTCTGGATTGACCCGGGTCAGAAGATCCCCGAAGAGGACATGCAGAAATCCTGGCAGGCAAGACTCAGCACTCTACCGCGCCTCAGCGTGCCAGGGCCCCAAAAGAGCGCCCAAGAACGCCCCAGGAGGACCCCAAGAGACACCCGAGAGCACTCCAGGAGGTACCCGCACAGCTCACAAGCACCCCAAGGCGGCCCAAGACGGGCCAAGAGGGCCCCAAGAGACTCCTGGGAGCGCCCCAGGAAGCCCCCAAACGGCCCAAGAAAGCCCAAACACCGCCCAAGCTGGCGCCGAGACGGCCCAAGAAAGCCCAAAGAATCCCACCACGCGCCCAGACAGCCCAAGAAGACCCCAGAAGCCCACAAGAGGACCCAAGAGGCCCGCAATAAGCTCCCGACAGGCCGCAAGACAACCCCGCGCGGCGCCAGGAGCCCCCAGGGTAGCCCGATAGAGTCACCAGGACCCCTCCTGATCCAACGTCCTTCTCAAATTGCCTCTTGCTGTCCTCCGTCGTCGTCGTCGTCGTCGTCGTCGTCGTCGTCGTCGTCGTCGTCGTCGTCGTCGTCGTCGTCGTCGTCGTCCTCCGCATTCCTCCTCGTACTCGCCCTCGTTCTGTTCGTCCTCGTCCTTGTGTTTATCTTCCTCCTCGTTTTCCTCACGCTCCTCCTCGCTATTCTCGCGTTTTCCACGTCATTGCCATCATCGCCTCCTTGTCGTCCTCGCCTTCCTTTTCTTTTGCTTCTTCGCCCAATGTGCCCATTAGACTAAAGCGGCGCTTCCCGTTCTTGTCTGATCAGGTTTGAAAGGTCTTGTTCCAGATCTGATCTACAGACCTGCCACCTGCAGGGAAACCATAGTGTCACACCATGCCCTGCGCTCATGGAGGAAACCACCCTTGAAGTGTCTAGTGGCCTTTGGCTCATCCCCGCCGCCGTGCCTTGAGAGTGGACCATCTCTCCCTCCTGGCTTGGAGGAGGAGGACGAGGCGGAGGAGGAGGAGGAGGCAACAGCCTCGATGCTTCTGCATTGTTCAACGTAAAAGAAAGAGGAAGAAATAGCAAGCAACTCTCACGGAGTCTCCCAATGACCTCAGCTACGCACTGATCTGGCCCCTTCGAAGCGCGTGACCAAAACTGGGCGGCGTGTGTGGCAGGTTCACGTCGTATTGACGCGGCGGCGACCCCGCCGCGGGCGTTCAAGGTTGGAAGCCGCCATGGGTGTATTGTCGGCCAATACGAAACGATCTGGCGATCGAAACACCGCCCATCGTTCAAGATTGAACGTTCCACGCGGTGTCAGGAACCAATCGGACGGGGCTCGGACGAGGACGAATCCGTTCCATGGGGGTTCCAGAACGCTCTCAGAGATCTCTTGAACGCTCTGAGAAGGCCTTGGCGCCCGATACATCCTCCAGAGCCGCCGGATCTCAGAGACTCTCGATGTATCCTTTTCGCTCGATTTTGTCCTCGTCCTGGCTCGGTCTGATCCAACGCCGAGGCCGCCACGACACGAACTCGCCGCGACAGGCGCGAGAGGGGCTGGAAGGCGAGCGGGATGCCCGCACGAGGGACCACACAGGGCACGGGCGCGCCCGGCCTTCGGGGCTGCCAGCACGCGCCCCGGCCATCGGGGGCCGCCTCGGTTCGGATATGGTATAGCCAGGGCCCCGGGTACGAAGAGCCGGTTGGTGATTGGGACTCGGAACCCCAAAATAGTGAGCCAGAATCACTGAACCAGGCTTGCCTCGGCCTCGTGCTCGTCTTCCTACTCGTTGTCCTTCTGCTCCCCTCGCTGCCCTCCCCGTCACCCACGCTGCCATCCTCGACATCCGCCGCCTTGTCGTCGCCATCGTCCTTTCCTTATCCCGTTACGAGACCAATCGATAAAATCGGCGCTTCCCGTTCTTGTCCGTCAGGTCTGCTGTAGTCGGTGATTCTTCGGTTGACGGCAGCTCCTTCGATGGAGTCCAGCAGTGGCGATGCGTCCTGGCGCGCCGATAGCCGACACGCCCACCAGAGAGAATGCTTTAAGGGCCTTTTGCGGTTTGCACAAACTGTTCTTAGAACGTTTAAGGTTGCGACCGTCTTGTTTTAACACGTTACCTGTACATGCCAAGGACTTTTTCTGATAAGGACAGTTTTCGATTCTGGGAACATGTCGTGGTAGTTCTGTAGGATTGCCAGGACGGTCGGCCCCTGCTCAATAGATGGAGGGCACGGAGGCCTCGAGCCCCCGAGGCCCCCAAACAGTTGTATCACTGCTTTCGGTCCGGGGTCCCTGCCAGGGCTCATTTCGATACCTCCAGCCTGGTTCGATCCGAGTTCGATCGATTCCGATTCCGATGCTCGATTCGAGCGCGCATTCCGATTTGGATTTCAGTTTCTCAATGGAGGCCTTACTAGCCTACCGATTCCCGCCGATTCGACTTCTCCCGACCTGGCTGCCAACTGCCGCCGATCCGATTTATTTTTTCGCGAATCCGAATTATCGGTTCGATGTTGGGCTCTCCTACCCAGGAGGAGTCGTCGCAGCCACAGGAGCCGACGTCACAAACATGCAATGTCGGAGGAAGGGGGGGGGACACGACGTTGGCCAGGCCAGGACATCATGGACCTGGGCATAACGGCGTATGCACAAGCCTGTGGCCACGTACGGGCTGTCGTTTATTATTGTGTTTTGAAGAAGAGGAAACCGCATACACCAAAAATGAATCCGGCGCGACCCCAATTGAGAGAAAGTTTCCTATTGCATGGGTGAAGTGATTTGCACTGCTTGGCATTTCGGGTCGGGCGAAAGGGGGGGATTGGGAAAGGGGGGGTTACGAAATTTGCTGCATGCAGCTGGTTTCGGCCTCACCGAGGGGCCCATTCCTCGATACATGGCCGCTCCCGGCGCCGGGAGGCGCCGGGAAAATCAGCTACGTGAGCTGATTCTCAAACCCCCCCTTTGCTATCCCCCCCTTTCGCCCGACCCGAGCATTGCTTGGCATTGCTGGGCATTGCTTGGCAGTGCTTGGCATTGTCTGGAACCGAGGAACCCGGGGAATCTCCGGGAATCTCCGGGGAACGGGCAGAGTATCACCCTGAGACACCATGTCTCTGAACCGAGTACGAACGCCTTTGGCAGGCCTGATTGGGAACCCCGTCGGAGGTCCGTGCGGGTGTCTCGCATCGGGGTTGTGCGCAACCCCTGGCGCGCCGAGAGCGCCAGGCGTGGCGCCCGAGGCAGCGCCAGGGGGGGGGGGGGGCAGCGCCGATCCGAGAAGACCAGGCGGAGCTCCGAAAGTTGCACCAGCGTATGTTACCGCTCTTTTTCGGCGAGCGGAGAACGGTATACAATAATAAACTTTTTCGCCGTCGGGGGCGCCTGTCCCTGGGCGGCTGGAAAGTTTCTACCCCTACGGTGCCACCGCAAGGGCATACATTTTCCAGCCGCCCTGGGGCAGGTGTCCTCGACGGCGAAGAAGTTTATGTTATACCGCTCTTCGCCCGCTAACTCTTGTCCTGTGAGGAAGCTCCTGGGGGTCTCGCGCGGCGCGCAACAGCAATGGCTGTACTCTACGGGACGACGCTCGCGAGGCAGAGCTCTGGCGCCAGGCCGACGTCAACCCGACGAGAATATGACGCAGCCTGGCGTGAACCCGACGTGGATCCGACGTATTGGGTCTCAAACTCCAGGGAGCAAGCGATAATGGAGGATGACGATTCATACATGACTGGGGGTCGTGTTCACGCGGCGGCGCCCGGGACGACGATAAAAAAAAACCGGCCGCGGGCCGGAAAGCTATTTTTTTTCAATCGTTCTCCTCCAGTCAGAAAATTATGCAGAAATCGCAGAAAGCTATTTTTGAACCGTTCTCTCCCATTTTTTATTAATCGTCATCCCGCATTATGTAACATACGCGCAGCAACTCGGAGGTCCGCGCGGATTTCTCTTGGATCGGCGCGGGAGCCCCACGGCGGCGCCGCCAACGCCGCCCCGTGGCGCGCTCCCCGCGCCACGGAGGGGCGTCCAGCGCCAAGCCCGAGAAATCCGCACGAGTCTCCGAGTTTCGCATGTCGATGTCGCTGCTTGCTCCTCGAAAGCTTCCACGCCAGGCATCCTGGAATATCGGCCACGCGCAGAGGGGGGCAGGGGGAGGGGGGGAAGGCTTCTCAGAAGCACCCTGCTTCCGAGAATGCGCGGGCCTTATGATTTATAAAGTTCTTAGCCGTTGTAGCGCACGGCGGGACGCCAAGCTTCCAAATAACAAGTTGGTCGGAGTTGCATCTGGTCGGAGTTGCATCTGGTCTGACTAGTCTGGTTGGTCTGGCTGGTCTGGTTGGTCCAGTTTGAGCTTGGTGCTGAGGCTTTAGCTTAGGTTTCAGGCGAGAGTGGTTTAGGGGAGGTCCGGGGAGGCAGCGACAACCACTACCACCGAAAAGCAGTGTTTTTTGCATTGCAGTTTTTGTTGCATTGCAGTTTTTTTTGCATTGCAGTCTGGCTGGTCTGGCTGGTCTGGTTTGAGCCTGGTGCTGAGGCTAGCTTAGGATTCAGGCGAGAGTGGTTTAGGGGAGGTCCGGGGAGGCAGCGACAACCACTACCACGACCGAAAAGCAGTTGTTTTGCATTGCAGTTTTTTGTTTTGCATTGCAGTTTTTTTTGCATTGCAGTTTTTGTTGCATTGCAGTTTTGTTTTGCATTGCAGTTTTGTTTGCATCTGGTCTGGCTGGTCTGGCTGGTCTGGCTTGAGCCCAGTGCTGAATTTGTTTTTGCATTGCCTTTTTTTGGCATTGCAGTTTTTTTTGCATGGCAGTTTTTTTGCATCTGGTCTGGCTGGTCTGGTTGGTCTGGTTTGAGCCTGGTGCTGAGGCTTTAGCTTAGGATTCCGGCGAGAGTGGTTTAGGGGAGGTCCGAGGAGGCAGCGACAGCAGTTCTTTTGCAGTTGTTTTTGCATTGCAGTTGTTTTTTTGCATTGCAGTTTGTTTTGCATTGCCGTTTTTTTTGCATCTGGTCTGGCTGGTCTGGCTGGTCTGGTTGGTGTGGTTTGAGCCTGGTGCTGAGGCTTTAGCCGTCGTCGTCGCCGTCGTCGTCGTCGTCGCCGTCGCCGTCGCCGTCGCCGTCGCCGTCGCCGTCGCCGTCGCTGGTCTCGATGCGGGTCCTTTTGGCTGGTTTTGCCGGGGTCCCCCGGGGCAGCGGGCACCCAGGCAGACTTGGGGGGAGCTCTGTGGATTCTGAGCTTCGGATCTCTTTTGGCTGGTTTTGCCGGGGTCCTCTGGCAGCCGCCGTCGTCGTCGTCGTCGTCGTTGCCGTTGCCGTCGCCGCCGTCGTCGTCGTCGTCGTTGCCGTTGCCGTCGTCGTCGTCGTCGTCGTCGTCGTCGTCGTCGTCGTCGTCGTCGTCGCCGTCGCCGTCGCCGCGCCGTCGCCGTCGCTGATCTCGATGCGGGTCCTTTTGGCTGGTTTTGCCAGGGTCCCCCGGGGCAGCGGGCACCCAGGCAGACTTGGGGGGAGCTCTGTGGATTCTGAGCTTCGGATCTCTTTTGGCTGGTTTTGCCGGGGTCCTCTGGCAGCCGCCGTCGTCGTCGTCGTCGTCGTCGTCGTCGTTGCCGTTGCCGTCGCCGCCGTCGTCGTCGTCGTCGTCGTCGTTTTCGCTCTCGGCGAAAGCCTGGGCCAGGGCACTACCTAGCACGGAACAGGCCTCCTATACACCCCTCACCCTGCACCCTCGGGTTCTCAACTATAAACTGGGACTGGGTGGGTGGGTGCGTCAGCACTGATAAAGTTCTTAGCCGTTGTAGCGCACGGCGGGACGCCAAGCTTTCAAAGAACAAGTTGCTCGGAGCTGCATTTGGTCGGAGTTGCATCTGGTCTGGCTGGTCTGGCTGGTCTGGCTGGTCTGGCTGGTGGGGTTTGAGCCCAGTGCCGAAGCTTTAGCTTAGGATCTGGGCGAGAGTGGTTTCGGGGAGGTCCAGGGAGGCAGCGCCGGGGACGACCACCGAAAAGCAGTTTTTTTCATTTGCCGTTTTTTTTGCATTGCAGTTTTTTTGCATTCCAGTCTGGCTGGTCTGGCTGGTCTGGTTTGAGCCCAGTGCTGAAGCTTTAGCTTAGGATCTGGGCGAGAGTGGTTTAGGGGAGGTCTAGGGAGGCAGCGCCGGGGACGACCACCGAAAAGCGGTTTTCTTTGCATTGCAGTTTTTGTTTGCATTGCAGTTTTTTTGCATTCCAGTCTGGCTGGTCTGGCTGGTCTGGTTTGAGCCCAGTGCTGAAGCTTTAGCTTAGGATCTGGGCGAGAGTGGTTTAGGGGAGATCCAGGGAGGCAGCGCCGGGGACGACCACCCATGTATTTCAAGCCACCTTTTCGCCCCCAAAAGGTAGCTTGAAATACCTGCTATTTTTTTGGCCGTTCCGTAATGGGCGACGACGACGACGGCGACGACGACGACGACGACCGACGACGACGGCGACGACGACTCACACCGCATAGCTTGCATAATACATCCTATACCACATTTATTCCACCGCGTAGCTCAAACAACATAGCATATACCACATAGGTTGCACCTCCATGGTGCAGCAACTTGCTGTTTGGGGCCCGCGACGGCCGACATATTCCAAATTCGCTTCTTGCTTTCGCTTTCACACCCCTTTTGGAAAAAACACCCATGTATTTCAAGCCACTTTTTCGCCCCTAAAGGTGCCTTGAAATACCAGCCATTTTTTGGCCGATCAGCGGGCGAGAAATTTATTGGCGACGACGCCCGACGACGGCGACGACGACGACGACGACGACGACGACCGACGACCGACGACGACGACGACGACGACGACGACCGACGACGACGGAAAGGGGATGGCGACGGACGGAACATCAGCAACCATATCAATTCTTATGCCCCAGAGCAAAGTAAGGCGCTGGGGCATAAGAACTTTGCGCCTCGAGCGGCTTAGAACCGATGCAAGGCGGGCGCCCTCTAAGAAGCAGCCTCTCTCTGAGAAACCCTCCCTGTCCCCATACCCCTCGCACTTCGACCCCTCGCCATCCGCCTCCTCCTCCGCAGGCGCCGCCGCACGGCGTCGGGCGACTGCTGGCAAAGTCCGGGCGGCTCGGGTCGCTGGCGCGGGGCGTGGACGTCCGGAGGTTCGGCAAGAGCAGCCTGGGCGTGGAGCTGAAGGTGGTGCAGGCCTACCTGAACAAGGCTCGGGCAGTGCCAATGTTCGCGCGGCATTTCTCGCATCTGCGCTGGGCCCCACTGGTGGCGCCCCCAGCGCCGCCCCTGGCGCGCTCCGTGCGCCAGGGAGGGGGTCCCAGCGCCGATCCAAAAAATTCGCGCAAACTTCCGAAAGTTTATATTGATACAGTTCTTCGCTCCTCTATTGGGCAGTGCCGGTGTGGGTCCTTCTGCGCCTCGCGCTCCGTCTTCTCGGGAGGAGGAGGAGGAGGAGGGGGAGGAGGAGGAGGAGGGGGAGGAGGAGGAGGAGGAGGAGGGCGAGGATGTGCGAGGAGGGGAGAGGGGGTGGGAAGGAGTGGGGGCGGGGACTCTTCGTCTGTCAGTACCACCTCGGCACCCTCCCCGCCTCTCAGTCCCTGCTCCCTCCCTTCCCACCCCCTCCCCCTCCCTCAGGGGAGGGTGGATCACCTCCAGGGGGTCACCAGACTAGCGGAAATCGAGGTTCCAGGATCGAAGCTCGAGGAGGTCGTTGGACGCTCGGCGTCGGTTGGGAGGCTTCGGGCCGATCTTGCGGGCTCGCTTCCTCGAGGTGATGCCGCTTCCTCGAAGAAGCGGCGACCTCCCTCCTCGTACATCCTCTTCGTACATCTTCGCCCTCCTCCTCCTCCTCCTGCTCTTCCTGCTCCTCCTCCTCCTCCTCCTCCTCCTCCTCCTCCTCCTCCTCCTCCTCCTCCTCTCGGCTACGTCGTCTCCTCCTCCTCCTCCTCCTCCTCCTCCTCCTCCTCCTCCTCCTCCTCCTCCTCCTCCTCCTCCTCGTCCTCTCTCTCTCTCTCTCTCTTTCTCGTCCTCCTCCTGCGAAGAGGAGGACGAGTAGAGAACGAGAGAGAGAGAGAGGACGGGTAGGAGAACGTGGTGCGGTCGGGGCCTTCTGGGCAGCGCGGCGCTCCGCCGGGTCTGGCCCACCGCGGCTCGGCGCGGCACGCTGCCCACTTCTCCTGGCCCCCCGGCGTCCATGCCCCGAGTCTCTCTGGGCCTCCCGCCCCGCGGAGCGGAGCGACGCGCTGTCCGCTCGTCCGCTCGCGGGGCATGGGTGTGTCGCCGGGGCCGCCGCCGCGACACGCTGAGCAAGAGTTCCCGGCCGCAGCCTTCCTTGGCGTTGCTCCGAAGGTGAAGGGGGCATTCACGAAGAACTGGGAGCGCGGCGGCTTCCGCTGAGGGCGGCTTCCCTGGGCGAGCTGGGCTGCGGCGCTGCCCGCCCGCGCGCGAGCGCGCGTGTCGGTGACAGTCTCCCCGCTTGCGGCGCTGGACCTCTCGCGGCATCGAGAACCCTCCCTTTCTCATCCCTCCCCAGACCTCCCACGTATGGAAGCATTCGGTTGGGAGCTTTGTTCGCCGTTTTCGGCCTCTGGGGGCCCTCGCCGGGCCCTGGGACCGTCAAAAAACGGCTTGGGATGAAAAAGCGGCCCAGAAGAAAAGGTAGGGCCAACCATGGGCCGCACATTGAACATATTACCAATACATCGGATCCCTGGGTCTTCATTATCCTCGCTTTCTTTTTCCCCCAACAATCCTGTAGTGTTGGGTCCTCGTTTTGAAGAGACGGCGCCCCGCGTTCTCCTCCCGCCTCCTTCCTCCCTCCTCTATCCTCCTCCTCCCCCTCCTTCCCCTCCTCTTTCCTCGCTGCGTTTCACCCACCCAGTACAGCGTCTCGTGGCCCCACACGGAGCTCCACCGAAGGCCCCAGTGCTACCGCCCGCATGCGTCCCCCCACCCATTACAGCGTTTCGTGGCCCCCATGGGGAGTTCCACCGAAGGTCACAGTTTTACCGCCCGCATGCGTCCCCCCCGCCCAGTACAGCGTCTCGTGGCCCCGTACGGAGCTCCATTGAAGGCCCCAGCGCTGCCGTGCGCATGCGCCCCCCCCACCCAGCACAGCGCTTCGTGGCCCCATAGGGAGCTCCACCGACGGCCCCAGTGCTACCGCCCGCGTGCGTCCGCCCACCCAGTACAGCGTTTCGTGACCACGTAGGGGTCTCCACCGAAGGTCCCAGCGCTGCCGTGCGCATGCGTCCCCCCTCTCAGTACAGCGTTTCGTGGCACCGCATGGGGCTCCACCGAAGGTCCTTCTGCTACTGCCCGCATGCGTCCCCCCCACCCAGTACAGCGTTTCATGGCCCCATAAGGGGGCTCCACCGACGGCCTCAGTGCTTCCGCCCGCATCCCCACTCAGCACAGCGCTTCGTGGCCCCATAGGGAGCTCCACCGACGGCCTCAGTGTTACCGCCTGCATGCGTCCCCCCCACCCAGTACAGCGCATCGTGGCCCCATACGGAGCTCCACAGAAGGTCCCAGCGCTGCCGTGCGCATGCGTCCCCCCCACCCAGTACAGCGTCTCGTGGGCCCATCCGGAGCTCCACCGAAGGCCCCAGTGCCGCCGCCCGCATGCGCCCCCCCCATCCAGTACAGCGTCTCGTGGCCCCGTACGGAGCTCCACCGAAGGCCACAGTTCTACTGCCCGCATGCGCCCCCTCCTCCCAGTACGGCGTCTCGTGGCCCCGTGCGGAGCTCCACCGAAGGCCCCAGTGCCACCGCCCGCATGTGTCCCCTCCCACCCAGTGCAGCGCTTTGTGGCCCCATAGGGAGCTCCACGGGAGAAGGGATTCACAACTTTGGTATTCACAATTGCATATAGTTGGGTCATTGGATAGCATAGTTTCTCTCACTCTCTCTCTCTCTCTCTGTCTCTGCCTGCTCGTCCTTCTCGTCGATCTCCTCCTCTCTCACAGGACAATTGCAGATTCTTTTGGAATTCACTAAACGTCGAAGTCGCTCACGGCGAAGCACCGCCGTCGGTTTGAGGCCCACTTGGGACGCTTCAGGGCCGTCTTGGGGGTATCTGGGGCTGTTTTGGGGCCCTCTTGGGTCTGTGTTGGGGGCTCTTGGGCCGCCTTGGGGCCCCAGATCCTTCTTGGGGCCCTCGCTGGGGCCTCTGAGGCAGTCTTGGGGCTCGCTTTGCCTCTTTTGCGCTTTGTGGGCATCTTGGTGGCCTCTTGGGCCGACTTGGGCCGTCGGAGTCCCTACGGGGCGAGAGCACTAAACCATGTCAACACACATCAGGCGGATCGATGAGTTTAGACTCTTCGGGCCTCCTTGAGGCCCTCTCGGGGCACTTGTAGGGCGTTTTGGAGGCCTCTTGGACTTGTTGGCCATCTTCTCCATATTCGATATGTCTTGTGCCGTGCAGGGCCGTCTCGGAGGCCACCTTGGGGGACATCTTGGGATTCGTGGTGACGGAGGGAGCTCATTTGCGGTTTTTCCGAGTGGCCAGCGGGTTCCTCGGAGGCATTTTTTGGCAATACTTCGGAAGGACCCGAAGGGTCAGTTCGACCTTGGCACGGCAAGCACCCCTCTTGCAAGTAACAGGAGGAGGCGGATCGAAGATTCCTACGGCGAATCACCGCCGACCCCTGCCTTTTTAGGATACGCCTATGCGGCCAAACGCCTGGGTAAAGGTTGACCACGTATTGGACCATGCGTTCCTCCCACAGCCGTTGTGAAAGCCTTTCGGGAAACACGTGGGCGAGGAAGAGGAGGATGAGGAGAGGGATTGCAAATGATGATGTAGAGAAGGATGAGGAGACCTATTGGGAGCTTCTTGAATCATTCTCGGAGCCTCCTGGGAGCTTCCTGGGGGCCTCTTGAAGGCCTCTTGAAGGCCTCTTGGGGGCCTCTTTGGGCGTCTTGGGAGCCTCTCTGGGCTGTCTTAGGGCCCTTTTGGGGCGCTTTAGGGTCGTCATGAAGGCCATCTTGGACTTCTTGGAAGCGTTTGGGGCCGTTATGAGGCCATCTTGGAGGCTTCTTGGGCGATCTGAGGGCGATCTTGGGGGCCTCTTCGGCCGTTGGAAAACTGAAAAGAAGCAAATGCCAGAATCCTTCAGAAACCAAGGGGAAATCAATGATTGTGCCTCTTCGGGGCTTCCTGGAGGGCCTTTTGAAGGCCTCTTGGGCCGTCTCTTGGGCTGGCTTGGGCCATCTTGAAGCCATATTTGGCCGTCTTGTCTGCAATTTGGGCTGTTTTGGCGGCATGTTGGGTTCTCGTGGGGACATCTTCGCCGTCTTGGAAGCCATCTTGGGTCATGCAGGAGCGAGAAGGGCGACCATCCGGGCAGATTGGGGGTGGTTCTTGGTGGCCGGCGCAATGGTCCGAAGCCCCAGGGGGACCCTCAAAAGACGGAAAAAACTTTCAGACGTTCAGGACGCCAGGCACCCCTCTGATAAATCGGCAGGGCGCTCCGCCGCCCCCTACGGTCTTGCCACAGAGGTTCCTGGCGTGCTGAGCGTCAGATGGTTGATGGCTCTCTTCAAGACTACCCCTGGGGCTTCGGCCCAGCGCGCTGGGTTGCGTGTCTCGTCGGCTTTGTCTCGTCTCAGATGTCCCCAATATGGCCCTCCACGCCACTTTCTCTCACCATTAACACCTTTTTGTTCCTACTCCACGTAGCGATCGAATTGTGGCCTCCTCATCCTGCTTCTCATCTTATTTCCCCCCGCTTCTCCCCTTCCTCCTCCCCCTTCTCCTCAAGCTCCTCTCACCCCCGGCTTCATTTGACCGACGGTCATAGGGCCCCCTCTTCATCTTCCTCCCCCTGCCGCTTTCTACCCTTACTCCTGTCGTCTGATGGTCAAACTCTCCGACTCTCTCCTCACTTCTATTACTCCTACTCCCCAGCCCTGCTCGTCCTCCCTTCTTATGACAAGCGTCATCTACAATTCACCACCTTGTTATTCTCACAGTCGTCACTCGCAGTGACCAAGCTAGCGTTTAAAAGAATCGCGTATTTTCAATTGTGAACAATATCAAAGTATGCTTGCCGCAGCGACTAGCCCAGAACATCGCCGCAAATATTGATATTGAGAGGGCCGACGACGTCACACCGTGCGTTTGGCCAGTCGAGCACCGCAGAAGTTGGCTATACATGGAACTCACTTGAGGGATTGCTTGCTATAGTGTTGTAGGAACGTGCGCCTTCTGAAATGTTGCTCCCGCCCCCGAGACAAATCATCACTTGCACACCAACATCTCCCAGAAAGCAGCTAAGACACTCCAACAAACAGCGCAATCCAACTCACGAACAACAACAAATGTGGTTCGCATCGTGTGAAGATGGGAACTCTTATGACATAGTGATCACTGGATCCTACCTCCAACTAGTTGTTAGTGACTGTACTGGGCCTTCCACAAGGTGTCCCCAGGATTCGCCGTCATCGGGTCATCTTGGAGGCCTTTGTGGCCATCTTGGCGTGATCTTGGGGCTCAATAGGGCCGTCTTTGGCCATCGGAAGGCCGAAAAGGAGCAAATGCCATAATCAATCCTGCAAACACGTGAGGACAATCACTGGCTCTGGTCTCTTCGGGCCTCCCTGGAGGACGCCTTGGGGTCCTCCTGTGCCATCTTCGGAGCCTGTTGTGCGCGCTTCTGGGGCCGTCTTGGACGTTCCTTTTTTACAGACAAGCCGTATATTGTATGTGGTGCAGTCTACGTGGTGAACTTAGTTATTGTTCACAACGAGTTGTCAACTCTATTGATCGCGCAATCATCCCGCCCACCCGCCCGCAACTTGGTTTGCGAAACCCATGCGGTGGCGATTGCGACTGCTGCTTGGCGCTGGCTGGCGGACCGTCTGCGGCCGCGGTAGCGCGCGATGGCTTGAGCGCGCGGGCCAGCTAGTCTGGCGCGACCGACGCGGGCGCGGTGGCGCTGTCCGATGGAGGCTTCCCAGCGAGTCCCGCAGGCCGCGCTGACGCGCGGCAATTTATTGCGAGTCGGTGGCCCGGGCTGGCGCGGTATCATGGCGACGGCGACAATGGCGGACACGATGATTAAAGTAGCGATGCTGGTGATGGTGATGACGATTACGACGGCGAGGCCAATGACGGCGCCGATGCTGATCGTGCCGGTTACGGTGATGTTGTCCACGTGTCGGCGATGAAGGTTTTGGATGGAAGCATCTCAACGTGCGCGCCCGGCAAACGGGCGCCAGTGGCCCGCGTGGCGATCTGTTGCCAGGTGTCGCGCTCCCCTCTTCAAGCGCGCAAGGTCGTTCGAATGATTTCGACACGCGCGCCCGAGAGGCCCGCTCAGTCGAATTTGACGATGATATTGAAAGCCGATGGTTTGCCCTGCGAATTCGTAGGAGCGCGCGCGTCTATACTA